CATTAGATTAACTTTTAATATAGTTGAATTAACTTTTAATATAGTTGCGATATGAACTCGATTAAAACGCGTTCCTATATAGGGTTGCGTTTTAATTGGAGTTTAATTAAACTCAATTACAATGCAATACAATAGAGAATTGCATTTTAATTAAGTTTAATTAAACAAGAGTTGAATATCCCGTGACTGAACATAGAAATGTTTGCGAAGCTTAGGTTTAGTATCGGGGTAAGGTATGGTATAATTATATTAACATTAATATAACGTGAACCATACCTTCCCCCGATACTAAAACTAAGCTACGCAAAACGGTATTAATAATCGAATTAACTATAACATGTCCTGGAAGTTAGATATATATCTGTATTTTTGTTCTCGCAACATATAGCAATACCACGCACGCGCACGCACACGCACACGCACACGCACACGCACACGCACACGCACACGCACACGCACACATTGCCAAATTATATCCAGAACAGAATATTTATAAAGAAACCATCTTATCGGTTTACCTTGCAAAATTAAATTTCAATTTAATAAGACTTTACAGCTGTTTTGGCCTTCAAATTTGTCACTTTCGGAATACACATGTTGAAGCACCAAGCTCTACCTAGTATTAGTTACATGTGGTTTGGCAGGATGATCATACAAGATGAAATACAGTATTACCTTCTACAAGCAGACAGGGCATGAACAATAAACAGACCCATGAATACTATATATGCATATGTACTATAATTAATTTCCTGTATCAAACACTTGTACCGGTATTCATAATAGAATATATTCATATAAGGAGTATTTGCTCCAATAGTTCTAAGCGCATTCATATTACCGTATTACACCGGGCACGCGCCCCTCCCTGGGCAAGCGCCCACCCCCTGTTTTTACAAAAGTTACATGTTGGGGACATCCTCGGTTAAACGCCCAGGGTGATTTTTAGCCAAGAACGGGGTCAACAATAAAGTTTTATTTGTCAAAAACGAACGCATTCGATTTATTTAGATAGTGTTTGTTACGGTAGTTCTCTTTTTGGAGTGTGTGGTGGCCCTGAAAAGGGCCGCTTTGTTTGTGTTTTTACGTAAAAACTCATTGGAACGTAACGACGTAAGATGAACCACGCAGCACACGTTCTGCTTTCTCTTCATTCACGATGAATCCAATATTGCAACGATCCATACCTTGGTGAGTGGTTTGAAGCACTTAGCTTTGGTTTCAAAATGTAGCATTTTGCTGACTGTGAATCCATAACGGGAGCTAGCACTTTTGAGACATCACATCGTAAACTTGCCACTTTCTTTCCATCCTTCATCACAGCATGTAGATTATTTTTCTGTCGTTGAAGAAAAAACATTTTGCCGACCTCAAGTCCATTACAATAACCATGATGAGGCATGCCGACGATGGGAACTTGTTGCATCATCGTTATTTTTGTAATTTTGTTACGTGTGTGGGTGTGTGAATAAATCATGTTAATGAGGTCGATCAGAGTTTATTTTCAGTCAGTTTTTTATGTATCGTCATTTGGATATGTTTATGTATTCACAATAGTTTGTAAACATTTCACATCAGTAATAAAAAGTTTATTTGTTTCATAACCCTGTCTGCTATTCTTCAGTAATTACGATGCGATGTATCAATACGTGCATGACCAAATTATGCTAATGAGGTCATCGCCATCTTGGATTACAAGCAGTAGTTTTTCCCGACAGTTTCGACTTGCACTAATCGCGGTTACCGGTACTAAAAAAGTAACCGTGGATTGATTACAATACTTACCATACTTTGTAGCCAATTTCAGTGAGTAATACAACTTCATTCGTTGACATAAAACAAGTTTTAATCTTGAAATTCGACCCCGTGTCTTAGTGTTCCCACAGTTTTTGACTGAGTGCTTACGTTTATTGAAACCTCACATAAATCAAGAAATAAGTTCGTGTACAAAATGTACGAAAGCATTCCTTTATTTGACCTTATAATACGATCCCAAAAACAACTTTTTAAAATTTTTTTTGGGGTGGTCCTCGGGTTAGCGCCCACCCCCAATTTTTCCCAATTTTGTATGTTCAGGCCCCTGGGCGCGTGCCCGGGGTAATACAGTAGTTTAACTTGCAATATACACTTTACATGTTACATCACACCACCATAAAATGTTCTAAATTATATTTCAAACGGGAATATACATGTAGCCACCAATATCTAGGATTTGCTGTTCAGTATATCAAACATACAAAGTTAGCATTTTAGCACTTTTAGCATTTTTCAATAATCATGTATGAAAGGTATGTTCACTTTTGAATACCATTAAATCCCAATCCGTTTTATGTCAAAACGGAAATATAATATTGCAATAAGAGACTGTAACAACAATATTTGCTATTCCTGTATGTTGTCCACTGCTGTTAAGACTCTTTAAACCATGCATGGCATTATTAGCTATACTAAATCTATAACAGCGTAGTTAAATATGAATAGTAATCCAGTAAGGGAGTCATTGCCCTCAATTACCGGTAATCACCTTACCTTAAAAACTGAACAGCACATGATAATAATATTACAAGAATACTAGAATACAATCAAGATAGCGTTTGTCCAACAATTGTGAAAATGCAAAGCCTTCAATTTCAATGCACATCATTTACAATGAAAACCTTAGCCAATCAGATTTGTAATTCAGTCAGGTTGTATCATTTCCTGGCGATGCTGTAAAAGGGGATATTGGATCTGAGACAAACAACATGAGTTGTGTTTTCTAGTTTCCTCATCATCTATACATATTAAATGATAACATTTAACCATACAGACACAGGTGTAAGTAAAACAAGGTCACATTTTGGCTTGTGAAAAGTACAACATATTTTTGGAGAGAAAATTTTATTGAATATTTTGTCTGGATAAAAAAAACATTTTTTTTTGCAAGCAAAATTAGGAATCATACCGATAAACAACTGTTTCAACCCAAGTATCCAACTTTTCTATTTTCTTTGTTTTTATGGAGGTGATAACTGCGCATTTGTTTTGGCAGGCGACAGACAAGTATTGTGAAAACAGGAAATCAATAAAGACAAGAGGGACTTGCTAAATCAACATTTCGCTATTATGTCATTTTACCACAATTCGCTAGAATAGTATGACGCTTTTTCAACATGTTTTACAGTATATTCATGCATCAATAAATTCAATGCAAGACTCAAGTAAAAGAAACCTTAGAAAAAGCTTCTGTGTGATAAGGGTACATAGGGAATGAAGTACGAATAAGAAATATTTAAAATATTTATCTATGTACCAAGGTTCTTCAAAATCTGATAGTGGTTATTAAGATATCAGAAAATTACTAATTTATGCAATTAATAATAATAGGTAATTAATATTCATGACTTTCAACCCTAAGTAATATCAATAAATTGGCTAATTTACACAAATAAGGTTATTAGTATGCACAAAATTCAACTCTAAACTAATCATCTAAGTGGCTTCATTTACATGGAACAGCTAAAAATTGCTAATTATTATGCAAATTAGAAATTTAATATTCACTAATTTGAACACAGAACTAACCAAGTCTATGGACTATTCTTGAACACCTGAAATCTGTAGAGTGGCTCAAGGGACATTAATAGATGAATTTATAACGCTTATTATTATGCATGATTTCAACCAAAAACTAATTAGGTCTGTGCATAGTTTCAGAGCATGCATGTACATTGTACTAAGTTTCATTAAAATCTGACAAGTGGTTCTGGAGATATAAGTGGAACACAAGTTCATACATACATACATGCATACACAGACAGAGCAAAGTACCAGTAGCCACAAAGACTTCCATTTTGTTACACCCAAAGGAGAAAAAAACAAGTATACAATGGGACATTATACTGATATGCATTATTATACACACCGATTGAACATAATATATATTAAATCCACTATAGTCTCATGTAATCAAATCAGGGCTGAAAAAAGAACAAATTCTACCGCTTTTTCTCTACTCCCTCTGCACTCACAATAATATTTTTTTTTCCTGTAGTAATGAGCTATTACGTGTGGAAAGTTCTCTAGAACAAGAATACAGAGTGAATTAGCCTTGGGTACTGTTGATTCCTTGTAAAACTTGAATGAAAATGTACAATGCTGTGTAAAGTTGACAAAATGAATGCAAACATACATATACATTGTAGTATTTGTATGTGCTTGCTTACCGATGTGTGATAAAACAATATGGCATGCTGCCGTGACCATGTGGTGGAGTATTAAGCGTTTTGATAATAAAATGTAATATTCAATGTGCTTGTAAAATTTTTTTATGAGGATTATTTTTGTCAGTAACAATAAAATTCCACATTATTAAAATTAATGATTGTTCAACATACATAATAAATAATGCAATATCATCTACATTTGGTCTCTGTTGGCATGAGATGCAATTTAAAACTTATCTAGAGATGCTATTTCAGTCTCTGATGATGCATGTAAATTTTATCATCAATTTAACATAAATCATGTTATGGTAATGTGAACAGTATCAAGATACTACAAAGTGCGCAGCACCCTCTAGTGTCCAATCATTGTAAAACTCATTTAGGTGAGAAAAAGAATTGTTTTTTGTTTCATTAAGAAATCGAAAATAAGGCATAAGGAACAGCACAGACAGGTTTTTTTTACTTGAGAGCAATAGAGGATACAAACTAACACAATACAAACACTGAAACTAATTGAAATAAGAACCATTTTCACTTTGGATTATGCTCAACCTGTTGTCATTGGCGATGACTCAGAAACTGACATTTTTTATGGCTTGCAGGTGGAAATGAGTTGGAGAGAATTTGTTTTTTCTTGGCTTTATTTAACAAATCCCAGAAAACCAAGACTTTTTGAGCTGCATCAATCAATTAATATACTCAACAAATGCAGAGTGTGTGGATGAAATTCTGAAATCTGAAAAGAATCACCAAATTACAACTACATGTACTACATGAAAGTCACTTACTGATCTGGGAGTGGATGGCACAGGAACTGGAATTCTAGATGGTCTTGGACTTTGAGCAGATGACGAGGAGGAGGACGATGAAGAGGAAGAAGATGAGGAGGAGGAGGAATCATCGTCGTCGTCATCATCATCATCATTGTTAATAAAAGGTCTTTTTAAAGTAGGAATATGGGCCGTTGTTGCTGTCACTGTTGATCGGCGAGTCATATGTGCATGTGAGCACGTTGAACAGTTTTTCGGATTATGAACAGTTCTTCCAGAGCTTGTCGACGCTGGCGGTGTATTAACATTCATGTTTGAGTTACTGCTACTAGTTGCTGCTGCTGCTGCTGAAGCTGCAGTGTTGTTAGAGTTGTTGTGAGTGGAAATGGTGCTGCAACACAGCTGACTTCTGTTCTGATCAATCACACTACTGCCAATGCCAGGAACTTTGGTTAGATCTTCAATGCTGCTAAAGCTTCCAAATGCCTAAAAAACGCAAAAATTAAAATAGTGATAGTATAATTTTTACTACTACAATGTAGAGGTCCACATCTAATAATATAATCAACACAAATGATAGATGTTTACAAATAATTTACTTCACATATCTCAGTCTTGGCTCACATGTTTTTCCTTAAACATGGCATTAGAGGCAATAGCTTTTATTGCAAAGGAAATATCAATTATTTGTAGGTTTATATTTGCTAATTTTTTTTCACACTTTCTTGAGCATATCTTTGTAATTCTAACCTAGACGTCTCCCCTAAAAAAAATGATCAGCCCTTTCCAAGAAACTATGACATGAAATTCTAACAAATCACCAAAGCGCTTGAGAAATTAAAGCGATGTGAGGTTGATTAAATGATGTTTATGTTATTGAGTGTCAGGAAGTTTGATCCTTAATATCCTTTATTTGATTTATTTTATTTGAAGACAAGTCATTGTCAATGACACGTCCCCGTTCCGTTCATATTTGAGTGACATGTACATTCAAAGCAGATCATGACTGAAATGCACCTGCATATGTACAACACATTGTACTAAATCTGAACAAAATCCATCCATGCATGACTGAGATCCGGTTCCGGAATTGTGAAAATACGTGATTTTGATGCATTTTCGGCCTTAAAATGGCCATCATTCAGCTATTGTTAAGCGGATCATGAAACAAATGCACATATCTATTTGTGACATGATGTACCATGTGTGTGTGAAGTTTGAACTTGATCAATCCAGACATGTCTTGGATACGGATCCAGAACTGTATTCTTTAACAAAATGGCCGCCAGTCGGCCACTTCGAACTTGATCCGGGAAAAAAAATGACGTGCATCAAGGTCCTATTATGTTTAATGTATGTACCAAATTTGAACGAAATCCGTCCATGCATAACTGAGATCCGGGTCCAGAATGGTGAAAATGTGCGATTTCAATGCATTTTATTCCTTAAAGCAGCCGCCATTTGGCCATCGTTAATGAGATCATGAAACAAATGCACATACATATTTGTGACATGATTTACCTTGTGTGTGTGTGAAGTTTGAACTCGATCAATCCAAGCATGTCTCAGATACGGATCCAGAACTGAATTCTTTAAAACAAAATGGCCGCCAGTCGGCCATTTCAAACCTGATCCCCCCAAAAAAATGACGTGCATCAAGGTCCTATTATGTTTAATGTATGTACCAAATTTGAACAAAATCCATCCATGCATAACTGAGATCCGGATCCGGAATGGTGAAAATGTGCGACTTTGATGCATTTTCGGCCTTAAAATGGCCGCTATTCGGCTATCGTTAATCGGATCATGAAAAAAATGCATGTGCATATGTCCCATATAATGTGTGATGTATGAGTGAAGTTTGAACTTAATCGGTCCATGCATTTTCGAGATACAGGTGATCACGGACGCATGCACGCACGCATGCACACAGGGCAAAACATAAGTCCCCGTTTTCGGACTACGTCCGAACGGGGACTAATGATCCACTGAATGAATTGAAGTAGTTTATTATACAAATTGTACATATATGGTGCTTTTTAGAATAAAATATCTCTCAAATATGCGTCAATAATGAACTCAATCAGGAGTTATCACATTCAGTGTACTACATATTTCACATATTGTTTGCTAACAACGACAACAACGATAAAGCATGCCAGTTAGCCCCAATATCTTGCATCCAAATACGCAACACAAAAATGGAATTGCCAATTATTGTAAATGAATTCAGAGCACTTAATAGTTCTAAATAATTCTTGACAATATCTTTAACAGCCATGAATGAAATATGGCCTGAAGAGGGCAGTAATCATATAATCATGCTATGTTGTGAAACAGATGGAATTGTCTGTCAGTAAAAACGCCATATGATTATAGAACACATAACATCAATCACTACCATATTTGCACAATTTAATGACAGAGGTCTGTCTTTGGCTATTATAGATCACATTTGAATAATCAAGCATAAAATAAATGCATTTATTTGTTAAAATGTGTTTCTTTAAAGAGCAAATAGAGTACATAAACAGGAGCAAACATCAGCACATGTTTGAATTATAATAGAAAATATTTACGAACAAATTAAAACAAGCGCAACACCCCACCCCATGTATATACATCTATAAACTTGTATATTTAAGGTACAATGTAAAATGGAGTAGCTGGGACTTGGCATGATTTTAAACTGGTGAAAATTGATTGTTTTAAATATTTCTACATGACAGGTGACAAATCCTCATATTGAATGTCAAAGTTGTCATAATGGCATTATGGTAAATTAATGTGTCCAAAAAAATCATATTCATGGTTGGACTATTTGACAGGGCTGTAGGACAATCTACTTATCTTAATGGCAATTTAATGCACTATCTTAGTATCGATCAGGGCCAGTTCATCTTAAAACCTAAACCAAGAAGCACAGACGCACCCCCCCCCAAGTCACATCCATACTATTTAAGTGAATAAATATCAGCTAGTGGGTTTGTAGTAAAAATATTTATTTTAAATATAATTTTCTTGGTAAAAGGGTCTCCATGCATGTTATGCATAGAAGGTCAGAGCATGAACTGAAAAATTAAATCTAAATTTGTTTTACCAAGAATCATTGAGGGCAGTATATACAATATAACCCTGAATCTAATGCTAAAATTTTTAAATAAACCAAGTACAAATAGGTAAAATAAAACATCTAACATAACTGGCAAAACCATTACTCTGAAACAAATTCCAGTAAACATGTACAATTCTATGATCCACACACAATGACCCAAATTCATCATAAATTCATCACACAAATTTGTAATTTTTAAGGGTTAACACATTGAGAGCTGAAAACACGGAGCATGTAAAAAACATTTATAGCTACAGTTGACATATCAAACTATCACATGTTTATTACAAAAATAACAGGTTCATTGAAATAAATAACCCAAACATTTTAGAAGTATAAATATTACAAAAGCCGTCCTGGATGTCAGAAAAATATACAAACATTACCAACAGGTGAGGTCTCTGCAATCAGTTGAGGAGAGAATAAAACATAGTTGAACTCTGGTGACCTTGCCCTTTGTTATATAATATAATTCCCTTTATCATAGTTTGTTTCAATATAAATATGCATTGTCATAATTAATTTTGAATACAAACAAGTTTTGGGGTTGAACCAACAGTGGGGAATCAGTCAACCGAATGTCCTTAAAAGATGTAAATATTTTACAA